TTCACATGGGAAAAATTAGACTGACATAATAACTAAATGTAATACACTAATTTTGGGTTTTGATCTAAAAAGATGAGCTAGAATAGATTTGGAAGGGATAATTTGGAAGGGAAATTTTGAACAAGAGTGAGTCTTAGATAATATTAAGTAACTATTATGAATTTTCTTTAAATGATTATGATGTTTTCATGTCAGAAAATGTCTTTGTTTTAACATGAGTGCTACAGTATTTGTGGGTGAAATGTCATGAGGTCTAAAACATTTCAAAAGGTGTAACAAAAAATATAGCGATAGATAGTAAGTGAAAATTATTTTCAAGTGTTGTTTTGGTTCGATTTTGTTTTGTTTTGTTTTGTTTTTTCCTAGAGAAATTCTGAATTAAGTATCTTAGTATCTCCAACCTTATTTCTTGGTACCTTTATTTTCCATAAACTAGATTCCCAAAAGTGGAGTTTCTAGATCAAGAGCTATGTAGATTTTTCTTCTTATAAATCATATGAGATTATTGTTCAATGTTTGCAAATGTCTTTGAGGAGTCTGGGGGTGTCACTCAGTGATGATGCACTTACTCGCTTGGTATGGTCAACACCTGGGTTTGATCCTAAGTACTGCACAATAAATAAATAAATATCAAGAAAGCATCTTTGGGTTCAAAGTGTAATTTTAGTTGATTTTCAACAATACATACATGAGTTGATTTTACATGAAGATTTGAATTTCTGACTTTTCTTGTAAAACAAGACTCTGACAAGCATCAGCTAGAACTGGGTATTTTGATGCCTGTGTCAGATAGGCTGTGTCTTCTTTAGGACCCCTGACTCTACCACTCCTTCTCTCTTATACCTTCTGTTTCTCTCACTTTCATGACTTTCCTGATCCTAGCAAACACAAGTTGCAACACTTGGGCTGGAAAAGCTCTAGACTATTGATAGATAGGACTTTTTTTAGAATGGAGACAGATATTGCTCTGCATAATTTTCATATTTTCTCAAAATGAACAATTATTTCATTTACAAGAAGCAAAAAAAAATCAAGACTTCTAACTTAGCATCCAATAGTAAATACAGTTTTGAAATTAACTTAATAACTGAATGTCTTTTTAAAAAGAGTGAAATATATGGCATTTCAAATAAACTATGAAGCAGTGACCTAGTTTAGAATACAATGAAATCTATTACTGCCTCATGATAAAAGGAAAAGTCTGATAAAGTTATAATTTAGCCACAATTGAGTCAATGATTTAAATTGTTAAAGATCATTATTATAATTAAATTACCAAAATTAAGTCTTTAGTAGAATTTAATTACTAAAAATATTTAAGTCATAATTTGATATTTTTCCCCATGTTTTCGTGTTCTTTTTTTAATATTTTAAAAAGAAACAGCACTTATCAAGCACCATGGRGTCATGTTCACCAACGACCGTTAACCTAGAAAAATTGCCTGCTCTGTCAAATAAATATGTCAATGTTTAAAAGCTCCCTGGTCCAAACTCAATGGAAATAGTTATCTACTGTGTTCTGAAAACAGAGTCCTTTACCGCTCTCCATTTCCCTTCCTGCCTTGGAAATGAAACTAACCGCATGTAAGGCTGAACTGAAATTGAAGCAAATTGATAAGACTGGAATGGTAGTAAACGGAAGCTGTCAAACCAGACTGAGACTTCACTCATGCTAAAGAGGGAGACATTGTCAAAGTCCTTCTTCCTTCCAAATTGTTGGGACAGGGGAGAGAACTGGTAATTATGTTCTTGTCTTTGAGCCTCCAGTGATTTGCTTGCAGGACACAGAGAGTGAGACTGTGTTCCTGGTGCTTCTGTTCCATCAGAGCTGTGGGCATCCTGGTGCATCCTTGGGCCATCGATTAGCACACTATATTCATAAATACTCTGCATTTTATATTTGAAGAGAATAATTTGCTTTCAATACTCAGGCTAAGACATTCTTATCAGACACTTTTTAAAAAATAATTTTTAGTTGTAGATGGACACAATACCTGTATTTTATTTATTTATTTATATGTGGTGCTGAGGATCAAACCTGGGGCCTCACACGTGCCAGGCAAGCGCTCYACCACTGAGCCACAACCTCAGCCAATTTTTCTAGCTTAACAGTCATTGGAGAACATGACCCCATGGTGCTTGATAAGTGCTGTTTCTTTTTAAAACATTTTAAAAAGAACACTAAAACATGGGGAAAAAATACCAAAGTATCACTTTTAAATATTTTTAGTCATTAAATTCTAGTAAAGACTTAATTTTGATAATTTAATTATAATAATAATCTTTAACAATTTAAATCATTGACTCAATTGTGACTAAATTATAACTTTATCAGACTTTCAATGTGGTGAAAAAATAATTTGAACATGATCCAGGGTCTAGAGCTGCCACATGGCAATCAAGAGCCCCTTGGTTTTGAGCAATGAGAGTGTGGAGATGTGGCAAGCCAGCCATGGCCTGTGTGTGTTTGAACTATGAGCATTGAGCACAAAGGGTGGATTGATCGTGTGTTACCCCTCTGTTTGGTGGGCAAGGTAGTCTTTTCCTTGGCTCTGCCTATGATCCCCACACAGCTCATGAGATGGGCATGGCCTTCCTAGATGTCAGTCAACCTGCTGACAACAAGACACATGAGGTTAGACTCGACCCTCTAAAACCAGACCCCTTGCCTCATTTGAATGGCTTCTTCCCAATAAAAGGGTTCAGCACATGCTCCTTGCACTCTTTCTTGCCTGCCTTGCCCTCCTTGTGGGATCTGTGGGTGAGGAGCGGTCACTGAACCCAAAGGAAAGGTACTTTCTGTGTCTGTGTCTTTATTTAGTTTCCAAAATCACTTGGAGTGACCCTGATCCGTTTAGTCGTGTGACACGACAATCCAGTATCCATTATTTGCGATTCTTGGGGCCTGTTGTCTTTCAGAATTCAGAGCTTTTCTGATTTTAAGAGAGATAACATGATGCTGGTACCATGAGCACCAAGCTCCAGAGAAGCCTCCAAACTAATTAATTTGTTTGCAATTAAGTGCATGGATACCATCAAGGTGGCTCATGCCTATAGTCCCAGCAATTTGGGAGGCCAAGGCAGGAAAATTGCAAGTTTAAGGCCAGCTTCAGCAACTTAAGGAGACCCTGTCCCAAAATGAAAATGACTAGGGATGTAGCTCAGTGGTAAATCAACCTGGGTTGAAGTCCTCATAACAGAAAGAAGGGAGGAAAGAAGGGAGGGAAGAACGAAGGGGACAGATGGATGAGCATGAATAGTACATGAAGGAAAGTAAATAATGCCAATGAGTTTGCCACAAATTTACCAGAAATTTCTGGATTTCAGAAATTTGAGCATTTTAGAATTATAGAGATTATTTAATAAAGACTAAAAAACAAGACTTAGCAAAATTTCTCTGGCATGGAAGCAAGAGTGAAAGGAGTTGAATTAGAGGACATTGTTCAGCAGCTGACACTGTCCAAAGGGAAGTGCAGATCTAGAGGGGCAGATGTCCTGAAGACTGGTTTCACTCTGGACATTCAAGAGGTCAGGGCAAGTCCCAGAGACTAAACTGAAAGCTGCCAGTGGAAGATATACAGCCAGGATCAAGACAAAAAGTATAATGGGTTCCTCAAGTAGAACTCAGACAGGATGATAATCAGAGTAGCCTAAATAGATCACCTGCATCAGCATCACCCAGAGCCGCCAAGAAATTCATGGCCTCAGGCTCCACCCAACGCCTCCTGAATCAGAATCAAGACTAAGATCCCACAGGTACACCTTTAAGGTGCACTCGGGTCATGTGGCATGGAGATCATGTTGCATGTTGTTGTTGAGAGGCACGGAGAGAAATTACTTAAAGATACTAAGGACACCTCTTAAGAAAAGTTGTCTCAAGACTAATGAGAGGGGAGAAAAACCATGTGGTTTCACATGTTCTGAGATTAAGCTCCCTGCATATCATTCAGCCCACAGAGAAAATTGTGTTTCAAATTTGGGGTTTTCATTTGAGTTCAGACAGCAGAACTTCCCAGTAGCCATCCTTACCCCACTTCTACCCAGGAACACCAGCTTTACAACTATTTTACGAGTAGGACTGGCATGCAAGTCTGTATGTGCAGAAAGATTTCCCTGACATTCAAAAGTCTGAGAATTCTCCAGGGCATAAAATAGATAAGTTCAAAAGCAAAAACTATAATGAGAAGGGAATCACAATAATAAATGGAAAAAATATCCAAATAAAAGTAAATGTTGGTTACAGGAGTGGGTTCACTTTGTAAAATGCACCATTTCTTTTTCTTTCATTTTTTAAAATTTGTGTGTGTGTGTGTGTGTGTGTGTGTGTGTGTGTGTGTGTGTGAGAGAGAGAGAGAGAGAGAGAGATATGCTGGGGAATCAAACCCAGGTTTCCATGCATGCTAAGCTACAGACCCTCAGACTTTTCCTTTTAAAAGGACCCATGGGGCAAGTGACAGAGTGTATGCTTAGCCTGTGTGAAACCCTAGGTTTAATCTCTAGCACTCAAAAAGTAAATTAATAAAACAAAACAAAACAAAAGCATCTAGCAATGCCTTCTCAGCCTCTGGCTGAAGCAGCAGCCTATGAAAGCCCCTCTGTCACTCTGTCTACCCCAGTTGCTTCTGAGCTCCCAATTCATGGTTGACTTTGATTGTCTCAGCTATCAATGGCTTTCAACCTCTAAGTGTAATAACTTTAGATCATTGTTTATGACTTCTATAAAGAGTTTTCAAACATATATATGTGTGTGTTTATAGATGTACTTATTTATCCTAGTCCAAATTTTTTAGCCCCATCAAACTTGACTTTCAGCTACAGACAAATGGTATGTCCAGATAAACTCTGTTTTTAATCATCTCTATAAGTGACCAGTGAATGACATTTTAAATTAATTTATTCTTCTCCCTATCCTTCATATATCTCTTTCAAAGAGTTTCTACATGGGTGGGCATAGAAATCTAAATGATTTTAAATCGTTCTCCTCTCTTGATGTCTCCTAGCTACAGATGGAGTTGGAGCAAGAATACCAAGACAAGTTCAAAAGATTGCCCCTGGAGATTTTGGAATTTGTGCAGGAAGCCATGAAAGGGAAGATCAGTGAAGACAGCAATCACAGTTCTGCCCCTCCCTCCTTGGCCTCTGACCCTGGAAAAGTGAACCACAAGCCTCCCTCCAGTGAGGAGGTGGAAGGAGAGAACCCAGGAAAAGAGTTTGATACTCCTCTGTGATTGCTCCTGCTAGGCCACTCAAGCTCCATTGAACTCTCTCTTCTAAAGATCACTGCCCAGGACCATCTTCCTGAGAAGCATCCCTTAGCCTAAATTCAACACCAAATGGAGAGTTCCAGAAGGATCCATACAGAGGTTTCATGGCCAGGCTCCAGGTGTCATGCAGAAAACACTGCAGTGAAGAATGCATGTATGTGGGATTTCTGTTTTCTTTCTAATAGTAAATTCAAAGCAGGCAACTCCCAGGCTCTATGGAACATTAAATGACAGAAAGTATCTTCTTTGAAGAAACTTCGAGCTCCTGTTTTTATTTGAAACTCCGGTGTAAAGTATTTCAAAGTAATAGAAATAGATTGAGAAATGCATAGCACTATTTAACACTATTGATCATCTGACTTTGAGCATTTTTTTTTCCTAGCTGCCCCTCAACTCAATGTCTTCAAGTTCATATGCATATTAAATGGTTTCATCCTTTGCTTTGCAAGCACGGGTGGCTTGCAGTTTGCTAATTTATTTATCATAGAGGCATCAGTATTTGTCGCTGACATGGCTTTATTAGATACCATAGTGATTCAAATAAGCTGGTTTTCTCTTTTGCAAAACAAAATCACTTGATTGTATCCTTACCCAGTGAAGCCATCCCAAGACTTAGCAATATGGATTGTACATTTGGCTGCATGAGCAAGTTGGCTGCACATTTTCAGGCAGTGTGTTATCTGAATTGACTATTTGCACTCGAAGTCTGGATATTCATTGGCTGTTGGCCTGAAATGAATGATCAAATAGCTACAACAGGTCTGTTCTGTTAAACAAAAAGAGTTGAGCTGATATGTGTTAAGCAGAAATTCAACTAGAATAAACAGGTTCCAGTGGTTATTTTGCTGTCTGACATTTTTTATGGTTCATTTATTTTTAATAGAGAGAGGAAGATTAACTATTTATCAAAAGAATACACAGACCCATGTATAATTATATATATGTATATATTTATATACATATATATATATATATATTCCATGTTTTTGTGTATGCACTCAGCCACACATGTGTGTGTTGAGTATAGATGTGTCTTTATTAATTGGCAATGACCCAAATCTCTTCCACAAGACTTAAAACCAATTTCAGGGATAAATGGTTAGAGAAGAAAAGGGTCAAACATTTAGATTGCATGGATATTAAATTATATGGGCATGCTAAGAAACAATTGATGGAGTTGTTGGTGTAAGTTGAGGAAGATTTAGAACTTAAGAATTTGGTAAATATTTTGCAGGATCAAAAATTGGATTTAAGTATCAGATTTTCAGCTTATTTTAATGGTCAGAATATACAAAAGTGTATTGGAGACTTATTTGGAAATTTATTTGTATCTTCCATAATGTTTAATTGATTTCAATCTTATTCTAACATAAAAACTTTTCATTATGTATTTAGTATGTACATTTAATTCACTTAACTGTGTCTTTTAAGTTCCTATTTTAAGTGGCATTAGAGAAACAAATTATATCATGGTAAAACTGATCAAAACCATTATTGAAAGAAAGAATAATTATATTTCAAAATATAATTTAGAGAGTGATACAAAGAACATTGCAGATAAAGCCCAGAAGCAAAACATTCACAGCTTTCTTTATTTTAAAATAAACCTCTCTGGTTGTGGCTTAGAAAAACATTTTACAATGCAAAAACCAGTTGTGTCCTGAAAGTTGTGTTTCAAAATTTTAATATTTTTATGGAAATTATTTTATTTAACTTTAAGCAATAACTAGGGATCATAATTAAGTTTTAATCAAAACGAAGGCTTACTTCAGATATGAGGAAAGACCGTTTGATTAAGAAAACACATCTAGTGAGACACGAGGGGGAACATCACATCCCCTTTGGAGATGATTGTATTTTGATCTGAAGGATTTAGAGTGTTAATTAGATACTTAATAAAACTTAACTTTCACTGAAAGCAAAATCTTTCATAAATCATTCTACCTTTGCACTTTGAAAGGAAGGCATAAAGAGGCAAGGATGGTCAAAATTGAATGCTGCTTTTTTATAAACAAAATTACAGACTGTCTAAAATTGCAGAAGAATGAACCGATAATAGCTTTCATAACCAAACACAATGGTAATTATTGCAGGATGCTGTATCACATTTTAGTCCAGAGATAGGCTAAGGTTGAATAACCTTGACTTACACAAAACTGTTTTGGTAGCTGGATTTCATTATCTTAGTGATTCTAGTCATTTTACAATACGTTTGTATTTGGCCATTAACTGTAATCACATTTTTATATCTGTACAATGACACTTTTTGCAGTTGTGGGGTAGTGTGTAACACTGTGTGTCTTGCATCATTGAAACTACTACAGTGATATTATCATTTAATAATATTAATGTTACTTGAAAATAGACAAAAAAAAAGATAAAGAAAAGGGTCTATATGATGTGCAGTTTTTGTGCCTTTATGTATTTGCCTTGTTCTTTGTTGAATGTGTGAAACTCTGTACTGTGGTTTTTCCTATAATAGAAAGTAGAGTCGTGTATTAAATTAGATTGTGTCCCCGACACCTTTACACTACTGAGAATGGTGTGGTTTTGGCCGTGTAAACCAATTTTCAAAGTTCTAATGACATGCCATGTGTTTTGGTTTTTAACATTTCAACATTTCAATACCACCATACATGAATTGATGCTCCTCTAATAGATAAGCAATCATTAAATAATTCTCAAAAAAAGGGCCACTGCTTGCATTCCTTTGAATTTAATGTCGCGCTTGTGCATTGTATTAATATTGTTCGTGACAGATTGGACTTTGTGACTTTTGCCTTTTAAGAAGAAAAAAAAAAAGAGATAGGACAAAGTATTTGAAGCTCTTAAAATGTACATATTTTGGTTCTTCTATCTTCAATTATTTAAAATGCATAATTCACATTTTTGTAATAATTCTATGCAATTTTGTGGCATGATGTTTCTTCCACTTGTAATTTTATGTGCTTTCATCACAAATCCAAAGGAAACAATAAAAATTTCTTAACACAACCCAGCTGTTATTTCTTGGGGTCAGAGCCAGCCTTCTTTACACAGGGAGAATAGTGGGAGCAGGCATCTTGCCAATCTTTAGGGCTATAACGCCCACCCTGATGGAACACAGAAGGGCCTACAGTACCTGTGCCGGGGCATAGCTGTCACTAGTGCCATCCACCATGCTCCATCCAGGAATGGTATTGCCCTGGCCACCATTTTCATGATGGAGATCCTCCTCTCCTTCATTTTTATCTTTCTCTCTCCCTTTCTCCCTAAGGAAGGCAAAACAAAGTTTGATTTTTATTTATTTATTTATTTATTTATTTTACAAATAGTGGCAAGTAAAAGAACTGTCAGAGAGCACTTGATGTAAGTTTTCTTATGAAACAGTCTCCAGCTTTGATAGGAAAAGAAATGCCCATGTGAGTTCAAGGTCAATGTCCCAGAAGCTTCCCCAAGTGCAGTGTGTCTGTTGTGTATTGCTGTAATACAAATGACTCCAAAATGCATGGCTCCAAACAATAAGAATGATCTTTTATAACTCTTGACTTACTGGAGTGAGGAATTCAGACAGAGCAGAACAGAGATAGCCAGAACAGAATAGCTTAGATTCTGCTCCACAGAATCTAAGACCTTAGACCTAAGAATCTTAGACCCTCAGCTGGAAAATTAGAAGGCTTGGGGTTAGAATCCACTCACACAATTAGTGGCTGATGGTGCTACCCCTAGAGACTAGCTGGGGCTCTTGGCGGGACCACTCATACATGCCCTCTCTGCGTGGCCTGGGATTTCATAATATAGAAGCTGGGTTCTAAGAGTGAGCCTCCTGAGACCCCCAGAAAGGAACTCTCAGCATTTTTATAACCAAGCCTTCAAGTTTCATGCATCATKAATGCCAGACTTTCTTCATTGAGTTGACACTGCCTCTTCTCAGATTCAAGGTGAGGGAACAAACACAGACCTCATGACACCTCGGGCTAGTTTTGGTCACTAAAGAGAAGCCAGACAGTTGGAACAAATATAAAGTCATGGCCAGCTTTGGCAAATACAATGTGCCACATGCAATAGTTGCCAAACTGAATTTGTGTCCCCCTTAAATGTGCTCTACTTCCTTTATTTTTCTACATCAGTAGGAACCATTTTAATCCAGTTATCCCTGGCCTCTTTTCCAATAGTCCATCAGGTCAAATCAATTCTGACCTTGTGATAACCCTCAGATTCACTGGTTTTCTATCCCCTGTCCTAGTATTTCAGTCAGGCTACCATCCCCTCCCACCTTCCAACATTATCCTAAGAATTTGTAAACCATGTAACCCTCTCCCCATACAACAGCTAGACTGGTAACACAAAAGCAAAATTTAATGGTATTAAAAGTCATCTGTCCTAAGGATAAAGTTCAACCCTTAAATAAATGTTTGAGATCATACATCAGTTGGTTCCTACATAGCTGTCTAGCTTAATGTCTTAGCATGCCTCACACATCACACACAGCCTTATAGACCACCTCACCCACCACAACAAAGCTTCTCTTGGTTCCCTCTTATCCCTGGCTGACTCCTATTATTCTTTCCATTTATGGTGTAAATGTCACTTCTTCTGGGAAGCCTCCTTTGCCCCTTCTTTGAGGCCCCTTTTCTGAGCTCCCATTGCCTTCTGATCAGTTATCTATAGCTGCACCTTAGCTGCATCACAAACATCAAGAAACTGTAATGTTAAAAAAACAAAAACACCAAGTGCTATTTGAGGTGGGTCTGTGAGGGCAGGTGGCTCTGATGACCTGAGCTGGGTTTGGCTGRCCACTGCTGGCTTTGACTATGTATCTATTGTAATCTGGAAGCTGACAGGTGACTGATCCTGGCTGGAGTCTTTCAGATGTCAAGGGTCTTTACTGGAACAACTGGGCTTCCGTGGCTCTGCTTCATGTGATTTTGGATCCTCAGAGATAAGATCCAGAGATCACACAAACACGGTTAAGTCTGCAGAATCACACACCATTACTTCCACCACTTTTTTTTTTTTTTTTTTTTTTTTTGTGAAAGTAAGCCAACAGGAAATCCCAGATAAAGAACGAAAGGAGACAACAATGTTATGGGAGGAAAATGTGGAGAGTAATTTCTCATTGTGGTCATTAGGCCACCAATTCACCACATATACTGAACTTTCTTCTACACAAAGTACTTGCCAACTCCATTATAATGTCCTCTTAAATACATCCTCCACTTTGATGTTAGATGTCATGTCTCATTCACAGCTGAATCCCCACACTCACTATAATGTAATCACTTCATAAATATCACAATTTTTATTAATAAATTCATCTACCCATCTAGCTATTAGTGTTTAAGAAAGAGAAAATGAACACTTGGTAAGTAAATAATATATGTCATTAGCTCAAAGTTGCAGTATTTTTTAGGCATCCCCTACGTCAGCAGGACAAGTACAGCCAACCACACAGAATCCACACTTGGTCATTGACTTATAGCACTGACACCAAAATTCAAAACAGCTGTGACTGATGACCGGAGGTCAATCACAAAATTGTAGGTTGTGAGACACTGGTGGAGAAAGCAAGGTACACCTTAGATCCCAGAGGGACCAACCAGCCTCTTTGTCCCACAGGAGAAAACTCAGGAGACATTGTTGTCCCTGCCATTCATGTATCATCATTTCTTTGAGCACTCTGGATATTTATTCTTCTACTAAATCCTTTCCTAAACTATTACTCACATAACATGAAATTCCTTTTGGTGGTATTTAGTGTAGTCACAGAGTTGCTCACCAATGGTCATTCTGTAATTTCAGCACATTTTTAGAACCCCAAAGGAAAACCCCATAACCCATGAGTAATCACTTCCTATTGCCTTGCCTCTTACATGTCCTCTCTCCCCATCCCTTATAAACCATTAATTTGCTTTCTGTCTTTGTGGATTTGTCT